GGCCAGGCGCAGCTCTAGGGCTGTCGGACCGGCTCCCGGAAGGCCTGCGGGTGGGGTGTGTGGCTGGCCGGGGGCCCTGCAGGCAGGAGTGGAGCCTCCAGTGGGGACCCCCAAGTCCTGGTCCCCCTCGAGGCGGTGGTTTGCCTCAACAGATCTCTGTTGCAGGAAGTGCCCGTGGTCACTCCTCTGGCCCCTTGAGGTTGCGGCATCCTGGCCCCCAGAGTGGCCCGGGACGGACGAGGGCCCTGTTCTCCCTCCTCATCACTTGCGGGATCATGCAGGCGTGGGGGGCGGGCGGCGAGGCAGGCTCTGACGGAGGGGGGGCAGGAGTGCCCGGCTCTGCCGGGCCTTTCTGGGGGGCAGCTGTTGAGCAGGTTGGGGCTTACTGCTCAGCAGTGGGGTGCTGGGGGCACAGCCGGGCGGCGGGGACAGACCACATGCTGAGTGTGGCCGCTCCCCAAGCCCAGAAGGTTGCCAGCTGCACCCCAATCCACCACCAAGCGCAGCGCCTCCTCCCTCAGCGGAGCTCCAGAGCCCATGGGGCGGGTGGGGCCCCCTTGGGCTGTCAGGGCCCAGACCAGAGGCGGCCCTGCTCCCGGAAGTGCCCCACCTCCTGGCCTGGGTCAGGGTGTGCTCACAAGCGCTTCACCGCCTAGCGCCCCAGCTGCCCCGGACGGCTCCAGTGCTCGCCGCCGCCTGCGAGGGCTGAAGGGGCGAGCTGGGCTGTGCGGACGAGCCCGTGTGCACGGCGACCTGCCGCCCCAGCTTCCGTCACAGCCCTGGACTGCGCCCCCGGCCTCAGCCCGGCGCTGGGTTGCATTTCTGGTTTAGTTTCACGGCTGCGTGGTCTGGGACCTCCCCCCCCGGAGTACATTTTGAAACGAGCCTTTTCATCCTTGTTTTTTTTTTTTAATATTATGCACACGAGCTGGGGTGCAGGCCAGAAACAGAGTGGGGAGCAGAAAGAACAGGCAGATCTACTGAAGCCCACTGCTGAGGGAGCAGCGGGGGGAGAGGTCTGTGCCGTGTGGGATCCCCCTGGCCGGCCGGGATGGGACCCGCGCTGCGGAGGCTGCGGACAGCTGCACAGCGTGGCGCTCAACCGGGGAGGCCTCTGCTGTGCACCTCTAAGAATCTTTGGCGTCGCCCAGCTGCTGGCTGTCACAGGTCTGACTGGCTGGGCTCCGCCCGTTGCCTGTCCCTCCCTGCGCGGGGCCTCGCCGGGGCCCTCGCTGGGTTACGGGTGTGAGGGCGGAGTTTGTTGTTTTTTCTGGGACGCTGTCATCTCTGGTTTCCCTCTCTGGTTTCCCTCTCTTCCCCTGGGGCCTTCTGTGCTGGTGCCCCAGGCCCGGGAGGCCGCCACCAGACCCCCCGCCTGCTTCCCAGCTTCAGGCTCGTCTCCTGCCACTTCCTCCTTGCGGGTAGGCCACGTCCCTGCCTCGTCCCTTCCTCCTGGCCGGGACGTCGGGGGACTGAGCTCAGCGTGTCCCGCCTGCTCTGTGCTTAGGAGGCGCCTCTCATCCTGTGTGCGGGACTGGCTGCCTGCCGCCGAGGGACCGTGGTAGTTAAGACTGCTTTTATTTATTTTAAAATGTATGTGTAGAAGAACTGGGGTGCAGGCCAGAGGTGCGGGGGTCAGGATTCCCTAGAGACAGTGGGGAGCAGAACAGGTGGACCCACTGAAATCCACTGCTGAGGGGAGCAGCGGGGAGACAGGAGAGGTCTGCTGCGCCCTGGAGGTCACTCCCTGGCCTGGGGTTGCAGTCATGCTGCCCCTGACTGCGGGCAGCTCCTTAGTGCTCTGCTTAACCCCTGCGCCTCCAGGGAGGCCCCCCAGGGCCTTTGTTAAATGGGGAAGAGGCTCCCTGGGTAGACACAGAGGACTGGAGGGAGTGGCTGGACCCAGTGTCCTCTGGCGGGGGCTCTGCCAGGAAACATGGGTGCTGGCCTGGGAGGGCTGGAGCTGGGCACTGCACGTGTGCTGCTGGGGTGCCAGCCTTGCTCCGCAGACTGGCCTCTGACTCCAGCAGTGGGAGCAGAGTCTGGAGGCCGGCGCTGGAGCTGCGGCGGGGCACCGTGCCTGGCCTTGCCTGTCGGGAGCACGCGCAGCGTTTTGTGTCGGAGGCGTGGCCGCTCCTGCTTTCTGGCTGTACCTCAGGGCTTGGGGACAGTGGCCGCTTTTTCCTAAATCCTCGTTGGGCGATGGAACCGTTGCAGAATGAAAGTGCTGGGTGGGTGAGGCCGCTGGTGGCTCTGGGCAGCTGTCTAGGCAGCACCTTGGTCCTGTCCTGTGGGTCTGGGGCGGGCTTCTCCCCGGGTCTCCCGCTTTCCTGCCCAGCCCAGGATCCTGGGGTGAGCGTTTGTAACCCCACGTGGCACTGTGGACTGTGGGATGGCCTCCCCGATGAGACCCCTGGGCTCGTCTGTGGCCCCAGGAAGAGGCCCTCACACCTGAGAGGCCGGGTGTGTGTGTGGGCACCGTGGTCAGCCGGGGTGGGCCTGAGCCGGCAGCATCTGGTTTGGGGTGTCCCTTGCAGAGACGCTGGTAGCGACTGCCTCAGATTCTGGTCACCTCCGCGCCTTTGGCCCCAGCCTCCCCGCGGGGGCGGGGGGGTGATTTGGGGGCTCCAGTGGACAGGGGGGCCGGGCATTTTCCATTGGGGATCCGCTCCCCGGGGCGCCTGCTCTGTGCTGCTCCCCAGTGGCGCAGAAGCAGCTCAGGGCTCTTTGTCGCAGGTTTCTCTGGCCAGTGTTGCTCCCTCTGTCTGCGAGGATGGGGAATATCTTTGCAAACCTCTTCAAAGGCCTCTTTGGCAAGAAAGAGATGCGCATCCTCATGGTGGGCCTGGACGCCGCCGGGAAGACCACCATCCTGTACAAGCTGAAGCTGGGCGAGATCGTGACCACCATCCCCACCATAGGTGCGGGCCGGCCCCGGGGGGCGGGGCGTGGGGGGCAGGGGCAGGGCACTTACCAGCCTGTGCTCCCCAGGCTTCAACGTGGAGACCGTGGAGTACAAGAACATCAGCTTCACCGTGTGGGACGTGGGCGGCCAGGACAAGATCCGGCCTCTGTGGCGCCACTACTTCCAGAACACGCAGGGTGGGCGCGGCTGACCCTCCTGCTCTTTCCGGCGCGCCTGCGGGAGGGGGCGGGGTGTGTCCTGGTGCCCGCACTGACGCCCCCTGCTTTGCAGGCCTGATCTTCGTGGTGGATAGTAACGACCGCGAGCGCGTGAACGAGGCCCGCGAGGAGCTCATGCGGATGCTGGCTGAGGATGAGCTCAGGGACGCCGTCCTGCTCGTGTTCGCCAACAAGCAGGTGCGCATGGGGCTCTGGGGCGCGGGGCGGGGCGGGGCGCAGGGCCATGCTCACCCACCGGCCGCCTGTCCTTCCCACCAGGACCTCCCCAACGCCATGAATGCCGCCGAGATCACAGACAAGCTGGGCCTGCACTCGCTGCGCCACAGGAACTGGTACATTCAGGCCACCTGCGCCACCAGCGGGGACGGGCTCTATGAGGGACTGGACTGGCTGTCCAATCAGCTCCGGAACCAGAAGTGAGCCTGCGCCCCCCTCCCTCACCCCCTCTCTGCCCTCGCTTTTCTCTCATGTGGCAAACGTGCACCTGTGGTGTGAGTGCCAGAAGCTGTCTCCGGGCTGGCCAGCGCTTCACCAAGCTGTAAATGTGCGGGCGAGCTGCAGCCGGGTTTTATTTAATGTAAATAGTTTTTGTTTCTAGTGAGGCAGTTTCTGGTACTCTATGCAATCTTACTCAGCTTTTTTTATTAAAAAAAAAAAAAAAAAAAAGAGAATCAACCCACCGTTCAGTGCTGAGAAGGGATGGCAGGCACTTGCGGCCCCAGGAGTGCTGGGTCAGATGCCCCACATGTCCTCTGGGCTCCAGATCTGTGTTGAGATCCATTTTGGCTTTTAACCCGAACTCAGTGCATTTTTAAAAATAGTTCAAAACACAAGGTGAGAACACTTGAACACACAGAGGGAGAGACGTGCCTCTGGAGATGCTGCAGGAGCGGCCTGCGTGCGGTCTTGTGCTGCTGGCGCCGCACGCCACCCATTCTGCATGGTCACAATTGGGTCCCTGTGATTTGCTGTCTCGGGTCACCCCGTCCCCATCGCGTCTGTGCTTGTATTTGTGCTTAAACGGCTGCCCAGGAGACTGGCTGGGGCTGCTGCCAGCCGCTCGGACTCCCGGGAAGGACCTGACCTTCCCTTGGGTCCGCGTGGGGCCCTCTGGCCGGAGCAGAGCCCTGTCTGCCACTCAGTCACCCCAGGCCCGCTGGGGTCTCGGCAGCGGGAGTGTGGGCGGACAGGACCGTCCCCCCAGCGCCACAACCCCGGAGCCCCGGCTACCCGTGCTTTCACTCCCTCCGCCTGCAAGGGTCAGATTTGCCATCGAAGACGACAACCTCTACTTTTTTTTCTTTTGTATTTTGATAAACACTGAGGAAGCTGGAGATGTTAAACTTAACTTGGGGAAACCTCACAAGTGGTTTATTTGGTGTTGTGGAATCTCTTAACTGCTTTCAATACACGATTAGTAATCAACCGTTTTGTATACTTGTCTTCAGTTTTCATTTGACAGACGAGCACTGTAATTATAGCTATTAGAATAAACTCTCTTAACTATTCTGCGGGCTCTCCAGTGCTTTGGTGCGGCCGATGGACAGCCCGCCCCTCCTGCCCTGCCGTTGCCCCCTCACACCCAGGAAGGGTGGGCCTCGGTGGCACCCCTTGCCAACCCTCTCCTTGGCCCCAGCCTGCCCTCTGCCCTGCCTGGGGTGGGTCCTCTGGTCAAGCATCACATGGCTGCCTTAGCCGTGGTGGGGCAGCCAGCCCTTGCACCCCACCCCTCAACCCGCACAGCCCAGGTGGAGGGGCTCGCAAGAGCTCCCACCTGGGTGGCCCAAGGTGGGGGAGCTAGGTGGTTCTGGGCGCACACCCTCTCCCGTGACCGGAGACCGCACCCTGGCAGGGCCATCCCTCCCTCCGGAAGTGCCCACCTTGGCTGGGCCCCTCTGCCTCCCTGCCGGCGGCCTGGACCCTGCGTGACCACAGAGGAGGCTGCCCATGTACCCAGATCTCCCAGCAGGGCCAGGCCGCGTGCCTCATCTCCACTTCGTTTGAGTAAACTTCACTTAAAATACATTTATTTAAGTACAAAGCCAGTTGACAGAAGAAAAATAAAAGCTGGACAGGATACTTGGCCACAGTTAGGCTGCTGGGGGTGGGTGGGGGCAGAGGCCATGCTCTGGGCTCCCGGGGAGCCGGGAGCACCCTCCGGCTCCATGGTTCTGTCCCCAGCAGAGTGGCCTCAGTCACTGTTGTGGCGTCTCCTCTTGCAGCGTGGGGAGGGCGGGTTGGAGCCAGTGGGCCTAGGAGATAACCAGGTGTGAGCCCGCCCTGCGGCTCTGCCTGCCCAGCTGGACCCACTCAGGGGACCCACCTGGTGGGCGAGGGGGACGAAGCTCCCCCTTTCCGGTGCTCCTTTTCTTTCTTTTTCTCTTTCTTGTGTTTCTTTTTCTTCTTTTTCTTCTTCTCTTTCCTGCTCTTTCTGTGGCTGTCCGGGCTGTGGGGTTCCCGGACGGGTGGGCACAACAGGTTTTGGAGGAGCTTCTCGCCAGGCCCAGGCCCCGCGCTGGAGCAGCCACTGCAGAGGCCGCTGGCCACGTGGCCATCTCCACCTCACAGGACAGGCTGTGCAGCCAGCCCACGACCCCTTGCGCCGAGCTGGCCTGCGCCCACCCCTTGCCGCCCTCACCCCCTTGCTCGGCCTCTGGCTATCTCGCGCCTGACCCCCCTGGCCCTGCAGCTCCGCCTCCAGAAGCTCCCCGAGGGGGAGGATGCAGAGCTCTGGGCTCTGCCAGGCCCCTTACCCCGGCTCGGCCTTCTCCTCGGAGCGCGGCTTCTTCCTGGCTGAGGTCGGGGAGGCCCCCGGCCGGCCGCTCTCCACGCGGTGGTGCTGCCAAGGGGAGCCCCGGTTTGGTGGCCCAGAAACTGGGAGGATACCCCGGGGGACGCCCGCCAGGCCCGCAACAAAGAGGCACTCAGACCACCCCCCAGAGGCGGGGGACCCCGGCGGCGGCGGCCCATTACCGTGAACACGGACAGCCCCAGCTTGGCGGCCTCCTTGTCTTCTCGGGACAGCGCCACTCGGCCGGCGGAGCCGCTGCGGGGAGGCGGGCGAGACGCCTCCGCGGTCAGCCCCGGTCCCGCTGCAGGAGGCCGGCCCCGCGCCCGCGCCCCTGGGGCCCCGCGCGCACCTGGAGCTCCCCAGGCCCAGGAGCCGGTCCACGCCCTTATCCTCGGGGTCACCTCCTTCCCGCTTACAGACCTCCACGAAGTCCTGCGGGGCGAGGAGCAGGCGCTGGCCGCCGCCCGGACCGGCGCCCGCCCGCCCTCCCTCCGGGCGGCCCTCACCTCCTTGCTCAGGCCGGTGGGCTGCTTCCGCACGTTCTTGTAGCCGCTGCGGGGGCGCGCGGGCTTCAGAGCTCGGCCTCGGGCGCGGGGCGGCGGGCCTCGCCCCACCCGCCCGCGGAGCCCCGCGCCCCCGCCCGCGCGGCCCCGCCCCAGCGGCGCACTCACAGCGCCGCCATGAGCGCCTCGCGCTCCGCCTGCTTGACGGCGGCCAGCTCCTGCTCGCGGCTCAGCCCCGCGCCGTCCGCCCGGCCCTTGGCGTACCAGGTGAGGTCGCGGCCCTTCTGCCAGCGGCCCACCGGGGCCATCAGCGAGTTGCCTGCGGGGACGCAGCGCCGTGTCCGTCGCGCGCGGGGGGGCGGCCCGCCAGCCCCCGCCGCGCCCCGGCCCCGCCGCTCCCGCGCCCCGGCCCCCCCGCCAGCCCCCGCGCCCCGGCCCTCCCAGGCCCGCTCCCCAGCCCCCGGCCCCCGCCAGCCCCCGCTCCCCGGCCCCCCCGCCAGCCCCCGCGCCCCGGCCCCCCGCCAGCCCCCGCTCCCCAGCCCCCCGCCAGCCCCCGCGCCCCCGCGCCCGGCCCCCCGCCAGCCCCCGGCCCCCCGCCAGCCCCCGCGCCCGGCCCCCGCCAGCCCCCGCGCCCCGCCCGGCGCCCACCCAGGTAGTTCTCCCTCTGCTTGTCGGTCTTCACGTCCTCCCAGCTGAACTGGTCCTGCCCGCCGCGCACGCCGCCCCGGCTGGAGCCGAACATCTTGCCGCCCGTCCGGCCCCGCTCCGCGTCGCGCGCAGTGACGTCACGCCCGCGCCTGCGCCCTGGCGACGCGGACAGCGGGGTCGCGCGCCGGCCCCCGCCCCGCCCCGCCGGCGGTCGGGCGCACAGGGGCCCGAGGACGGAGGTCCCGCCTCCCAGGGAGGGGCGCGCGCAGACCGGCCTGCCGGACCAGACCTGCTCGGGCCCAAGTCAGCGGTCGCCAGGCGGGGGCTCAATCCCCGCGTCTGCTACACCCAGTGGCCTGTGCTGGACACGCCTGGCCCCGGCCCCGCGTCCTCTGCGAACAAAGCCTGCCTTGCTCCAGGGTCTCCAGTACCCCGGCCACCTGCAGGAGGTCAGGCGGGGCATCTCCCCTGCAGAGGAGGGAAGCGGGGCAGCAGCCGGAAGAGCCAGGCCTCCCAGGAGGCTGTCTGGGTGAGAATGGGCTGGGGCGAGCCAGTGGCGGACACCCAACGCCGCATGGCGAGGGAGCAGTGACTAGGGGGGGGGCACAAGCTGGGGCAGCCCACACGCCCTGCAACAGCAGGTGTGCTCCCCTGGCCAGCAGGGGAGTGGGGTCCAAAGGTGGGTCTCAGGCCAGCCTCATCCTGAGTGGCCCCGGCTCTTCTCCACAGGCTGCCTACTTGTGCCTGCCTGCTGACACCTGAACGAGGCAATGACCACCAAGGGCGGGAAAGGGGAGGCCCAGCCTGGCAAGCTCAGTATGCTGGGAAAGGTTCGGAATCCCGCCCCAAGAGCAAGCCCTCCACAGTAGCCGCAGGCCAGCAGTCTGGGCTGGGGCAGGCCAGCTGGAGGAGGCAGGGCAGCACCGCCTTCCACTGCAAGCATCAGCTCCTCCCACCGCTCCCATACCTGCCATGCCCCTCTGGGGGAGCCCCGGCTGACCTGAGATTCAACAGTGCCAGGACTAGGAGGCTCCAGAGCCCAGGGGCCCCACATGGTGCTGCAGGCACTTCCTGCAGTGAGAGCAGCACCTTCGGTGTCTGCATTTCTCCTCCCACTTCAATGGGCCCATATGCTCTTTGGATCTTGTTCCAGAATCACAATTTGACCCAATCTGCAGCCCCACAGTGGACTATGGGTCAGGTCCTCTGGGCAAGGTGACGAGGACAAAAGACAAGGTGGAGGCAGCCTGGAGAAGGTGAGTTTTAAGACCCCCCCCCCTCCATGGGAGCCCCAGCCCGGAGGCCTGCAGGCCATCACTTTTTGGTCCAGAACCGCTTGTACCGCTCCACATCAAAGTCATCGCCCAGCATCGGCTCCTCCTCCTTCTTCACGCGGAGCTGGGCCTCACGTTTCCGGAACCTCGCCCGCCGCTCCTCTGGGGACAGGCTGTCCAGGTCCACAGGCATCTGCAGGAAGGGAGCGGTGCGCCCCTGGCTAGGAGGTGGGGAGGACGGGCAAGGGGCCAGGAGACCCTCTCCCCTCCACTTCCCCAAGTTTCTTCCGCCGCTGTTGGCCTTCCTCCACCTTCTAAGCCTTTATTCTCGAAAAGGACTTGATTCAATCAAAGGTGCAGCTTGCTACTGCAGAGAGGTCTGGCTGTGCAGCGTGCACCAGTCCACCCTCTTCCCAGCTGCCCTGCCCTGGCTCACCCTTATGCTGCTGTGCTCCAAGCCCTCAGTCCCCACAGTCCCGCCCTGCACCTAGGGAGGGAGCTCACCACCAGCATCCTTCGTGGCTCTCGGTAGCGGATGTGGATGGTGGAGCCATCCTGCCTGACCAGGAGCACAGGGTAGAGGCGTGCGTAGTTCTGCCGGTGCAGGCGTGTAAGGGAGGCTCTGCTGCTGGCGGCCCGCCAGGAGGACACATGCGGGCGGCAGCCCGTCAGCACACACTGCCGCAGCAGGCTGCAGACACACGCACAGAGGTCAGTGGCCAGTACTGGGGCCAGAGTTCCCATGTGGCCTAGGCCAGCCAGCTCCTATGGGGAGGGAGTGGCAACCAGGGGCAGGTCATGGTCAGAGCTGCTCTCATCCCATGCCCAGGCAGAGGAGGCCGAGAAGCAGCATACAAGGTTCCCAGGCAGCTTAGGAGACAGGACAGCAGCCGGGATGCAGCAGGCCCAGCACGGCTGGCTCTGATGAGGCACGGCTGCCCAGTGCAGGTGCTGGGCTCAGTGTGGGACCAGAAGCTGACTTCCAGGGACGTACCCGTCGTTACGACTTCCACATCTGTCCCGACCCAAATGTGGGGATACCAGAAGGTATTGTCAGGAGCCATGGCCTTTGGGAGGTGGTGAGAGTTAAAGGAGGTCCTGAATGCCCTCTCTGCTGGTGCCCTGGGAAGGGCCCCTGGTGGGGCTGAAGCCAAATAGGAGGTAACAACAAATTGGACAAGAACTTGTCCCAGGACAAGAACTCTCCAGGGAGCACTACAGCCAGAGTCCCTACTCCATCTCCACACAAGCACCAGCTCCAGAAGCTCTGTCCCTTTCCCCCAATTCCCCAGAAACGGGAAACTTGCACTCATTCTCTCCAATGGCAGCAGTTCTTGTCTTGGGGAGTCCAGGGGAGGAGGGGATGGCAGATGGAGAGGCAGTTCCAGTAGAAAGAACAGGAGGGAGCTAGGCTGAGCTGCAGGCTCCGAGTAGGACAGTGAGCAGTTGAGTCTGGTTAGCTATTTCCTTCCTGCCTCAAAAGCCCACCCAAAGGATGTATTCATAAGTACCCCATCTCTAAGAGTCGTGTGTTCTCCAGATAGAAACACACACAGGAAGCTGCTCTGAGGTAGCACGGTCTAAGGCTACAGGTTGGCATCCCCCTGGTGGGCCCCACAACAGCCTGGAAACCGCTACTTACCGAAGCAGGCTGCCCTCGGATGCCATTCTTCCTGAGAGCCCGGTGTTCTGTGAAGTCGAGGGTCAGTCAACAGGCCTGGCGTGCAATCTTCTGGGCAAAGAGATGAGATCTTTTGGAAAGACAGGCTTTCCATCGAATTAAGCCTCATCAAGTTCCGGCCAGGAACGAAGCCATGGACCCAAGCCCGCTGGCCAGGCGTGTTACTGCCGGTCTCAGCAGCCCATCCGGGTCTCAGCTCTGGGCGGGCAGCAGAAGCCCCTGCCTACGGCTGTCCTCGTCCTGGCCCCACGGATGGTGAGTCAGTGGGCTGAGCGGGGTCGACGCCCCCCGGTCGGTTGGCCGCGGAGCGCCTCCAAGGACAGAGCAGACGCAAAGGGCCGGGTTGGCGCCCAGATCACTTAGTTCTCCCCCAGTCCCGGGAGGACGGGGCCACGCTGGCCCGGGGGCCGGGCGTCGGGCCGCCTGCGGCGCCCTGTCTCCCGGGTGTCTGCGTCGGGCCCGCCGCGCCGGCCCGGGTGGCCCCGGAGGTCAGCGCAGGGACGCTCCCTCCGACGTCGGGAACGAGACGCCACGCACGAGCGAGCGGGCGCTTCCGTCCCCGCGCCCCACCCCGGCCCGCGCGCCCCCGGCCCGCGCCCTTCACTGACCTCCGCGGCGGCTCGAGGACCAGCGGCCCCCACGCCGCGGGCCGGGAGGCCGGGCGTTCGGGCGTTCGGTCTGGGCCGCACGCACGAGGGCCGGCGCGCGGGCGGCCAATCGCAGCGCGTAGCCGCCTTTCCGTCATCAGCGGGCGCGGCGTCGCCGGCGCGGGCCGAGAATCCGCGGGCCGAGACGTGACGGGGCGCCGGGGAGGGCTGGCCCGCGCTTGCGCGGTGGGACGGGGCAGGGGCGGGGCCCGCGGCGGGGCGGGCCGCGCGGCGGGCGGGGCCGGGACGCGGCGGTGACGTGTCCCGGGCGCGGGCCGGCGCGCCGCTAGGACGTGCGGCCGGAGGCGGACGCGGCGGCTGCTGATGCTGCGGCGCCCGCTGGCCGGGCTAGCGGCGGCCGCCCTGGGCCGAGCCCCCTCGGACGGTGAGTGGCGGCCCCGGGCCCTGCGGGGCGCGCGTCCTCCACCCGGCTCCTCCGCGGCGCGCGGCCGGCGCCTCCAGGGCCCCGCGCGGGGCCGGCGGCGGCGGGGGCGGCCGGTCTCGGGCCGGGCGGACGCGCGGAGGGCGCCCCCGGCGTTCCCTGCGCGCTGGTCCTCGCTCTCGGCCAGGGGAGAAGCCGCTTCCCGTGTCAGCCTCGAAGCGCAGCGGCAGCCTCGGGACGCCCGGCCGGCGTGGTGAGGGCGAGCGGATGCCGCGCCGGAGCCGAGGGGCTGACCGGGCGGAGCGGGCGCCCGATGCCCCCCGGGTGGCCCCGGCTCAGAGCCCCGCACCCTGGGCGCGAGCGTCCCCAGGCCACGCCGGGGTGCCGCGGCCTGGCCGTCCCGACCAGCGCCCCCGGCCTGTAGGAAGGCGACGTCTTTGCCTTTGCCGACTGGGGGAGGGAGGCCAGCCGGAGGGGCCGGGGGAGCGGAGCGGCTACCCTCAGAGTGGGCTTTCGTGCATTTTGGTCATCCCTGAGTCTCCTAGACCCGGGCTTGTTTGTTGTGAGAGGTGGGCAGACCTCCCCTCACCCCCATAGGGCCGCGTGCCTGTCTTGCACTGACAGTGAATTTCACGCCACCCACGTGTGCCCCAACTCTCCCTCTGCCCGACACAGCCCTGGGGTGTGGCTACCAGGGCGCTCGGCGTCTGATCTTTGACCGGAACTGGTGAGCTCAGTCTGTCCCTGCGTGGAGGATGCAGGTGGAGGGTCCTTGAGGTGTCTTCAGGCCACACCCTCGCCCCTGCTCTGCAAGGCCCAAGCACCTCGGCCCCCTCAGGGTGGCACATCCGCCTTCTGACAGCTGAGGAGGCAGGGGACATAGAGGTGTCGTGATGTGGTTGGCAGAGAAAGGAAGGTGACCCCATTCTGGTAGGAAAGAGCAGGAGGGTGCCCTGGAGCGGCGCGACGGCTGTAGGTCCCTCCTTGGCCCAGTGTGCTCTGGAGTCCTCTGAGGTGTGCAAAGGAAGGGGCAGGCCTCGGCCTGGACAGCCCCGCCCCAGTAGCTTGTGTTCCTGCGTCCTCCTGGAAGGTGGGGCTGGGCTGTGTGGAGACAGCGCCCCTGGCTCTGCACCTGAGAGGTCAGGACAGAGGTGGGGCGCAGGCCTGAGGAGGGGGTGCTGACCCTGCGGTGGTTGGTGGTGGGCGTGGAGCTGGGCACGTGTGTGAGTGGCTGTGCATGGCCGTGTGTCTGGGTGGTGTGATCGTTGTGGGCCTCCCTGCCCCAGGGTTGGAGTCTCTCTCTCTCTCGCAGGAGCCTGGGGTGCGGAGGTGTGGGGCGGCC